AATAATTATAATAACCAATTAAAATATATTATATATATAATTGAATTACTCTTTTTTTTTTTAAACTGATAAAATTTGTTCATGTGAATTGATCTCTTGATTTATCATATCTAGTATCTGGTCAAAAATAAAGATATGAATCTAAATCTTTCATCTGTTTTCCAATCACCTGCTTAGCCCAGGAAATATGATCCATAAAAAATGTATTTACAAAAATAAATACATTTTATTTTTTGTTGATATGACAGACAGACAACATGTTTGTGTGCAAGTGTGTGTGTGTCTGTTTGTATATGTGTGCACGCAAATGCCACTGACCTTGCCTTGGCCGGCCGGTAAAGCGGGCCGTCAGTAGAGTCAGTTGTGAGAGCAACCAAGCGTTCTGCCTGAGATTTGCAGGCTTTATTACAGCCCCCAACCTCTGGCCTGACAAATCCTCTTATTTCATTTTACATACCTTTACCTCGGCCCTGCTCCTTTCCTCCTTCTCTCCTCGAACTCCTGTTCTCTCTCCATCCACGCGCAGTTTTTTTCTCTTTTCTTATTTGTCTTCCATGTTTTCCTTCCTTGTTCTGCATGCTCCTCAAACCTTTACATCCTTCTTTTCTATTGTCCTATACTCCCCTTCCTGCTCTCCACCCTCCCCCTCCCTCCCTCCTTCTCTATAGCATGATGAATCTGTGGACAGGGGCTAATAATTGTACTTCAGCCCAAGTGCTCATTTTTCTTTGTGTTTGAAAGCTGTGACAGGCAGGAGCTCTTTTTCTGTCCACCACACCAGCGAGCCTTTTTTCTCCTCCCCCCTTTTCACTTTTCTTTTTATCTTTACACAATGGGTGAGTAAAATAACTCAGGGTTTACAAGGTCACGCTGTCTAGGGGTGAGGACACGTTGGGGATTTGGAGGTAGAAGGATTTCCTCCGAGGTGTCGTGTGTGAGTCTTCAATAAAAAACACTAAGTTATAGATTACACAGGGACAAGTGGCTGCGGTTGACAGAGAGCTAGCTCAGTGGCTAACAGCTAACAAAACAACTCAGTTCATCACCCGGTCATTGTTATTTGTTGTTGTTTGTTTTCATCACAAAAGCTGAAGTGGAGGGAACTGTTTTACGTCCGTGAGCCACGGGTTTCATCACACACAGAGAATAAGCAAGTTCTTATGCCCTCATTTCTGCCTCCCTCATGACTAGAGCCAACAGGCCACACCTCTTGACCTCTTGACCTCTTGACTTTTAAGTAAAATACATTGAGGACATGTAAATGTAAGTTTTTAACATCAGAGTTCTTTGGAATTTTATATTTCACCACAGCGGCCTCTTATTTTTTAAATCACTTTTATTAAAATTTGTAGGCATTTTTATCTACTGCATCACACAGCAAAAATATTTAGCTAATATTCTCCCTGACAATATTCAAGGACAACACATTCTTTATTCACATTTATATTTACAAAAAAAAGAGTTAAAGAATTCTCCAAACCTGCGACAGTTCAAAAGAAGATATAATATACATAAATTGTTTTACTAAATACCAAAAATAACAGATACACCTCTGTGTCCAAATATCTATATTTACACTGATGTACCAATGTGTGTGTGCAGATACTTCTATACACACATGTGTAAATGTATATGTATATGTGATAGTTTCCTGTAGAAAAAGTTCAGATATAAGGCCCTGCAGTAGTTCCCAACCTTTTTTTGCCTCATGACCTCATGTTGACATTACAAATTTCTGGCAACCTCAGGGACTATTTTTTTCTGGAATTATTTTTTTATTATGTCTGTTATACTGTATTAATACAATGTAGCCAGAAGTCTGTGCAGTGTTTTTATTTATAATTCTTTTTTTTTTAGATTAATTACTAGTCATTTTAAGCTACCCCATTTGACTTCCCGGTAACCCCCAGAGGGCCGCGACCCCAGGGTTGAAAACCACTGCTGTATTCTAGATAATTAAAATGAGGGAGGTCACATTAGGTGTATTATTATAGATATATGAGATATAGATAGGAATTAAATACTTATACTTAGTTTTTGATTTAATACATGTACACGTTTGTACTTTGCTATATTTCTTGATAGTACTTTACGGTCCTGAATAGTTTGTGTGTGTTCGCTGTCACATCCCCTTAACAACAGTACGACATGTCAGTGTCACTGACGTGCAGCAAAATCCAATGTTTGAAGGTCGGCTTATGAATTGCAAAGATGACAAAATTGTTTTTATTTTTTTATTTTATATATTTTATTTAAATGTACAATAACATCAGCTTGTTTCACTTCATCCCGGCGTTATTGAAAACAAATAACTGTGGAGCGTGCGCATAGGAAAGTAATCTGATGGCATGAGAGGAGGTATCGAAATAAAATAACATTTTCATTGACTCCACAATAGAACTTGATGGAAATTGATCAACAGTTTTAATCACAATGTCATCTTTGAGAGGTGGAATGGCAGTGAGCGGAGGGAGGAACTGGAAACAGCAACTTTATGGCCTGCTGTAGTTAGATGGTAAATTTCCTCTTGGCAGATATTTATTGAATTAGTTGAGTCTAGAGAGAGCTTTAACATTGATCGTGATCATTAAATATATCCGCTCAAATTGCAACATGGCGTTTCCTCAGTCAACGGAGCCAATAGGAGCAGAACAAAGGCATAATCAAATCAATCCTTCCATAATTATTCCGTGAGAGGTGGAATTAATCAAGAGAAGGAATAAAAACAATAATGGAAAATGAAATTGTCAGTCGTAAACAATTACGGCCTCAATTGAAATAAAGTCAAGGAAGTCAACTGTAAATCGGACTAATTAAAATAACTCGCTGCGGCTTTTACTCGCGACTCCGTGGGAAGGCAACGCATAGAGCAACGCGATAAGGAACAGAGAGGGAGAAGCGGTGCACGTGGGCGAACAAAGCCCGACGCGGCGAGGTGAAAGGATCAAGGTTCTTCTCTTGTGAGAACCTTCTCTTTTCTGCTGCTGAGAGGAAGTGTAACTTATTGATTAGCAATCAGATGATTCCGATACAGTCTGATCGATAGGACGGGGGGAGGAGGTGGGAGGGAGACACCGTCCTCACCCATGATCATCCACTGCAGTGTCCAGGGATACAGGCGTCTGCTGGTTTGTTGTCCCCCGGGATCTCCTTTGAGTGTGTGTGTGTGTGTGTGTGTGTGTGTGTGTGTGTGTGTGTTCAGTCAAAGTTGATATTTCTAACCCTTGACCTTCAAATCCTATAGTTTAGTTTTGTGTTAAAAAATTACATTAAATGAGGAGACGGTAATTTAAAAAAAAAAGTTCTTTCACCTCACTGAGGCTTGTGTTACCTTATTGTCAATAACATATGTGTCTATCGACGATAGATACATAGAAATATATATATGTATATATACATATATAATAAAACTATAGGAGCAGAAATATATGTATATGTGTACATATGTGAACTGTACACAACAGTATCTGTTATGGAGTTATTTCACATGGTTGTTGTATTAAATGTGACAATCTTTCAAATCTTCACTGTGGTCAGTTGAAGATACTGCAGCAGCTCTTTTTTCCATAACTCACTGTTTGAGAGATCGTTTGTCCAGTATTAGGTTTCAGCCTTGACAAGCTCTCAATAAAATGGCACAAAATGTGCACTAATCAGGCTATTGTGTATTTTGGAACGCGGTAAAAAACAAAAAGATCACAATGAAGAAAAAAAATTGTTTCTGGGGTTGCCAGAAATTTGACATGTCAACATGGGGTCACGAGCCAAAGGTTGGGAACCACTGACATAATGAGTAAATAGAAAACACATTAGGACATAGTCAGCCTGTTTAAGACGTGTTCTACCTTCCAGAGTAAAAAAGAAAAAACAAAAGTGTTTTTTATATATATAGGCATGCATATATATATATATATATATATATATGTATGTATGTATGTATGTATAAAACTGACAATGATTGTTTCCCTTGGTTCTCTTCCGGGTACTTGGGGCCATCTCTGTCAAGTCTGTGTGTTTTACCTCAACTGTGCTCTGTGAAAGGACTGTGATAAGACAGCTGCACCAGCGTACCGCACAGATAATGAGAGGACGGGACAGTATCGTATCAGTCGGTTCCCAGACCACAGCTGTGAAGTAGCACGTGGTCGTTGGGGTGCATTTTCACGCAAGTGACTGAGAAAAAAAATCTATGTGGGAGAAAGAAAACACGTGTCGGGAGAGTATTTGCAGGTGGACAAATATGTTTATGTTTATGTTAATTAGGATTAGAGAATTAAAGCTACACCCCACGATGGTTCAGATTTTACAAGAGAATTGTCAATTCAAGTTTTATTCGGATCATTCTGGTACAAGTTTTGGAACCAGGTTGCCGGCTGAGTATGCTGGGAAAGTAAAATACATAAGTGAAGGTACGAGGGAAAAGTACTTTATTCATTAAATTACAAACATGTTTCTCATCACGTCTTCAACTGTGTCAAAACTTGATGAGAATTTCTTGTTTGTTGCATTTTGAGTATGTCTCCTAAAGCAAGTATCATTTTAATGTTTAGGGAAAAAAAACTGAGGTAAAAAAACAAGTTTAAATTTCAACAGAAAAATTTAAATATTGATTAAATACCAATAAAGTTTCTTGAGGTTTGAAAATACTTTATTGTTTGTTGTTAGCACTACACCGACACGGCACAAATTCCCTAGCCCTGTAATCTGAGATTAACTATAACAAATCCATCCTTAATCCTAATTCAGACTCAATAATGCCTCCATTTGTAAACGCTAAAGCCAAGAACACACATTCACACATACACATACATACTGTCTGACCATGTGTGTTTTTTTTTTCTTTTTTTATTGTACAATTTTTGCTCATATAATAATGAAAAACAATATTCTCAGTCAAATTTAGAACAAAATAACTACTACTAATGACAGACATTTCACTTGTTGTGGTCGGCCTCGACTCATCATCACATTTTTGTTCTCTTGTTTGTGTGTTCCTACAGATGTTATGAAAATGGAAGGCTGGTGTTTACAGAGCAACCTATGGCACCCGGACTGCCACAAAGCACAATGTCTCATAAGTGTTCCAGCGGCGACTTCAGGGATGTCAGTCCACAGCGAACGCGGAGCCGGAGTTCAATATCAAAACAACCGAATTAAGAGACTAAAAGCACTCGCATCGCCCCGGTCCAACAACGGGAGATGAACCAGAGTTTAAGATCGTGGACTCTGGACATAAGAATTTTTTCACGGATCCAGATTCTCCCATTAATACCTCCGCCGCATAACTAAGAGAATAGATTATTACTTAAGCTGAATCAGCAAAAAGACAAGCTATGATGTCCACTCTCCATTAGCACATGCTCCGAAATCAGGAAGTTGTAAATATTGTACAGGGAAAATGGGACAGCGGTGACAAAGCTATTGCAAAATAATGTACATATAAATAAGAATCCGACTTTTAGTGGTTTATATACTGTATCATTAGTGTCACCCGACCATTACTGCTCATTTCGTCTGTGCCCTGTACCATAGAACAGCACAATGATTACCTGCATCTCACTACAGTCTAAGTTCAAAGGAAACATCTACAGGAACTGAATAAGAGGAAGCTGAACAAACCACTTAGCTAGAACCAGTCGCATACGTGCATAAGTTACACCCCGTCCTCTGGACAGGATTGTCCGCCTGATGTAGCCGTACCCTTTATAAAGACAGTTGTTTAACATCGAAGACATGATCTTAGATTACAGAAAATCCTTTTTTTTCGCCCACTCCTCAGTTTTTGTTTTTTTAGACCATATTAAACTCATGTCCTCGTTTTAGTGCATTCTAGTCTCTATAGTGAGGTGACAGACTTTTGTGTTGAACAGTTAGGAGTTAGCTGGACTTCATCCTTCCCCTGAAGACTACTGTGCAGCACAACTCTCTCTCGCCCTCTCCCTACCTCTCTCTCTCTCTCTCTTTGACTCTGGACTCGTCCATCAGAGGTCTTGCACACCTGCTGACCTCTCAGCCACCAACCGTTCACTCAGGTCCCACAGACTGGCGGCGACGTTGGGGTCCTGCGCCTGTGTGGACGGCAGGCAGCGGAAGCAGTTGTTGAAGTACATGCCTCCTAATCCTTCCAACTCCGGGGCTGTGCCACAGTAGACGGTGGTGGCTGCTCCTTGTTGCTGTGGAGAGGAGGAAAGAAAAATCAACTTTGGCAAGTGATTCAAAGTGATGGAGGCTACGGTATGAAAATGTTACAGCTTTTTTTTTCAGATTTAGTAGATTAAAAAAAGAAATTAATAGGGATGTCCGATATTAACTTTTTGCCGATATTCGATATTGTCCAAACACTTAATTTCCAATATCAACAGATACCGATATAGGCCTGGTAATACTCTATTCTTTTGTTTATCTGTACAAACCACTGTATGAGTTGCTGATACCAGCATTCTACATACAATCCCCTGTTTATTAAGATAGATTAATTAAATGAGCTGCAATGCTGCCATCTGGTGACTTTCACTTTCATATACAGCTGTTTATCCCCAAAAATATTTTAAGGGCACACATCATTTGGCGAAACCCAGACATTGCGTTATCGGGTTTTCATTATCGAAGGAAAAAAACGATTCTTACAGATATTACATAATATGTTAATATCTGATATCGGCCGATATCATCGGACATCCCTAGAAATTAAGCAAAGAGTAGGAACATGTATATTTTTACACAGCAGACGATCTTTCAAAACTAACATAACTGCTAGAAATGACGCCGATGAAACCTCTATCTATTTGTATGTTTAAATAATGATATAGTTAGTGATAGCTTGACATAAACCAGAGGAGTTCCCCTTTAGATCCACTGAACAGTCTTGTCTCTTGTTTTTTTATATTTTATTTTCTTTATTTTTACCACCAATTTCAGTCATTACACTAGTTGCTGTGTCTCAGTGTTTCTGATGCGGAGACATATTGAACAAGAAAGGTCACCTTAACCGCGGCCCGCCAAGTCAATTCTCCAGGAAGGGAGATTTGCGAAAGATTTTAAGAGAACTAGTAAACAGCATCAGAATAAATACGTCGGAGAAAGATGACATTCAAAACCAACCTCAAAGCCAGAACCTTTGTGTTTCAGTGCCCACTAATGGCTGCTGTGACAGCTTGGGCTCGGGCTGACTTCAGTACAACCACATGAAATGATTGGACGCTTTATCTCCCAATTAGAGGCACCGGTGCAGGGGGGCGTAGAGGGGACACCGATGTGACGACATGAGACTAATGGTTAGCACAGAGGCCGATACTGAAACCACATCATACAGGCGGTACTTGAAGAATGGGCACGACACACAAACATATGGACATGTCCACATGACATGTGCCAAGACTTAGAACAACTTCTTCATGCAGCCAATAGGCATCAAGTGAAGCCATCAATTAAAGTCTTAAGCATTTGGACTTCAAAGGCAGTAAAACAAAAAGGACACAAAGCAGATTCTAACAAATCAACTATTTAAACACACACACATACATGACCAACACTAGGTGCTGTGGTGTGTACTGTGGCAGCAGCAGATTGACCGTGTTTGAGGCGCGGTGTAATGAGAAAGCAGATGAAAAGACAGCAGACCGTCTCAGCTGCCAGTGAGGCGATAACTTCATCCACGTCACATCCCGCCATATCAAAGACAGAGAAATGCCAAACGCCGTCTCTGAGTTCAGGTTTACACACACTCCGATTCATTCATCCCCCAGCTTAGGCCATCTGATTGAGCTCGACTCAAAGCTAAATGCCTTTTCAAATCGTCTGAAGACGTCAGTGGTGCCTGCTTTGATTCACTGACTCCAGCTGACCTTGGCTGACTGTCAGTGCCGTCTGTGTCCAGTAACTAAACCGGCATCAAAGAACTTCACTTCCTTTTGCAGTAGATAAGCCAGTTCAAAAATGGACTGAGTTAGCATTAGCCTGTGTCTATGTGGGCTGTTGATCTTGACACTGTTACTATGGGATGTTGGACCTGGACTAATTGTATTGTAAAAAGGCTATTTTCTTTGGAAAACGAGAAATATTTACATCTGTGTTGCCATTTGTCAGAAGGATTGATCAGCACATCATGGGCAGCTATGAATTGATTATTAACTGATGAAAGTTAATCAGTATCTTTGCTTGAAATACCAGTAACTACTCAAAACATGTGAACCCCCACCCCCCTGCCAACCTCCCCAATTCTCTCCTTAATGACGGTCTGAACCAGTCCTTAGTCCTTCATGTCCGGCGAGCCGCCATATGACTGCAGTTTAGCTCATTCCCCTCACCACTTGACCTTGCAACCTCAGAAGAAGATAAAGCTGATGAGATTAGACATTAACATGCTCTACCACCCACCACAGCCATCTATCACAATGCCTTCAGAGATAGGAAGACTGTTTGAGTGAGGAGATAGTGGAACAAAAGGAAGATCCTTAACGACAATTGATGGATTCACTTGGCTCAGTTAAAATCATCCACAAAAAACATAATTTATACGCGCACATATCACAAATATATACAACCTAACATCATATCCATGGATTAGCATTGGCCCTTCAACGCCACCTCTACATGTCTCTCTGTACGCGATACTGTAGATTGTATTTGTAAATGTTGCTGTTTACAAACATAGCAGATCTTGTCGCGCTTCTTTCGTTCTTCTGCGTCTAAATGTGAAACATTAACTGTTGTGCAGTAGTTATCGAAAAAAAAAGAGAGAAATTTAACGCGACTAAAAAGTTGTTGTCTGTGACGCAGAGATCTGGACTCGACATAGAGACTTTGACTTTGTCCCGTGTATTTTGGCATATCAAGGTTGTTTCAAAGGTGCAGTGATTGATGTACTGTATATTTAAGTTTATCATTAAGTTAAGGTTTATTAGCATGTGGTCACTGCCTGTTGTATGGCAGGTGTGTTTTTTTCAGCGCAGTGTTTGACGTACTCAGTTTCAGATTTTTACTTTTTATTTATTTATTTTCGGTTTGATGATTGCGTTTTACAATTCGGTGCTACGTGATTATTGATCCTCCCATTAGACAAGGAAGAACGGAACTGAAAATCTGTCTCTTTTTCTTTTTTTTTTAACTGCAGCAAATCGACAAATCAAATTAGCCGGTGTCAAATAGATGAGACTTTTTTTTTTTTAACTTTCTTTTTTAATATTTGTAACCAAATAAATCTAAATCACTCTGCAATAAGGTGATGGTAAAACAGCGTCAACACAAGGGGCCAAACATCCCCCAGTGCTGTGCTGTGGGGACACTGAGGCTACTCTGGGATCAGATCCAAGTCTTCCAAACCTCTGTAACGACTCATAACCCAAGGACCTCAATAACCTGCAATAGAAATGTCCTTGTACAGAGTTATGCAGTAATTAATTCTTATAAAAAAAATGACATATAGTTAGAAGCAGAGAGATATCGTGGCTAGGGTGTACTACTGTTGACGGATACTTTTCTCCCGTTCTGCCTCTTTTCATCCAACTCGTCTCAGCGGTGTGAACATGTTTCTGCATGACTCTTCACCCCTGTGTGTGTACGTACCACATCGACCTAACCTCCATGTAAATAAACCCAGTACTGTAGAGCAGTCTCTTTTTGACCCATCTGTGTACAAACCTGTAAATACCAACAGCTATGCATGCTGGAAACCTAGCAGTTCTTACAGGTACTTTTATAATCCCTTCATTCTTATATGGCATGTGCGGCAAAAAATAATAATAATAAAAATAGGTTAAAAAGAAATGAGAAAAAAAGGAGAAAAAAAAGAATAAAAAATAGTTGATAATATTGTCAGGAAATATCCTCTCTTGGACAGTGTGTAGAGTCTTCCTGTTTTCTTACTCCTGTGGGTGATTCTCTTCCTTTGCCTGTGCCTGTGTTTCTGCTCACCATCTGTGTCAGTTGTTGTCAGTTAGCATTTGCACAGCACTGAGGGTTGAGGCAGGAAGGAGAGAGTGAGCGCTCACCAGATGAACCTACGACGGCACTGCAGTACTACAGCGGTACTACAGTGGTACTACAGCGGTACTCAAAGGGTGTGAAGTTCACTTTCTGGCCGAACCCCCAGATTACTAAGCACATGTCAATCTGTATCACGTCGAGGGCCAATAGACACGCGGTTCATTTGGAAACCTGTCCGTCCCAGACAGGACACATGCCGAGGTTTGATTTGTTGTTGAAGTGTTGATCATTTGCAAATACGTACTTTGTCCATTTTAACCACGCAGACAAACATGTAAAATAACCAATTTTGTATAAATCAGATCTGCAGAAACTTTGTTAATAGAGGTAAAACGCGGCTACAGATCCCCACCAACGAAGGGAACAGAAGGAGAGCATTTTTTGCCTCAACCCTCTGGTCCAGCCTAATGGACTAGCTATCCTGGACGTAGGACTCCAAAGGGATTGTGAATCTATTTCAAGAATGTAATTTTTTTGTTTGTTTTTTTATCTGTGATGTTTAAATAGATGGAGGTGTCTGATTTTTAATCTGTGCTCAAGATATTTTACACTAAATAAATAATCATTAAAATCTAAATTTTTTTTGTCTATTCTTTGTGTGTGTGTTTGTACTCAGTTGAGCGTGCCTGGCCCCGCCAGAGAGGGAATTCTGGGTAACACGGTCACAGAGAAAACAAGTTGTATCTCCATTCACACTGTCCACTCAACCAGGAGGTGAGGAGATTAGCGTCTTAAACACACTTCAGGGAACAGCCCCTGACCTCGGCGGCTGTGAAGACAAACCTGAACTTTGTCATTTTTAGCAGAGTTGTCTTTTTTCTTTTTTGCTTTTATCAGGTGTTTTCACAGCATCTGTCACACAATGATTCGCACAGATGCCAGTCTGAGTTACGTGTGTAATCGGACCTGGAGAATAAACGGAGCTTCTCTTCATGGCTCTCTCCGGTGATTATTCTGCGTCTGGTCACTTGTATGAACTAAATTCTATTCCTCACCCTCCATTAGCTCGCTGGCGGATAGCTAATAGTCACCTACAAGCAGCGAGCTCCCTTGAGGGGTATTAAGAAACGGATGGAAGAACGAGTCTCCGTAACTGTCTCTTTGTGCCTCCATTATGCTTAGTCAACCCCTCTCTCTCTCTTTCTCTCTCTACCTTTCTCATCTGCAGCCTCTTAGATGTCAGGACTACCACAGAGTGCTGTTCTAGCTGAGTTCTCATGGGTAAAAAGTCAAGGAAGTGAGAAGGTGACTCACATTCCTTCAGGTTAATATGGCAGATAAAAAAATCCTCATGGCATTTTGTTTTAACGGTCAATAATTTTAAAAGACAGAAATTCTTTCGGAAGAAAATACTGATTAGAAGTACCACCGACTACAGAAGGCCCTCTCCTTTATTTTGTGTTTTTCAACCTTGTTGTCGGTATCATGTGACTGCACAAGTGACAGCTACTGAAATGTCTCCGGGGGTCGCCAGAAATTTGTGATGTCAGGATGGGGTCACGGGGCCAAAACAGGTTGGGAACCACTAGTTTAAGTCGTCAACAGCTTTCTGTTCTGACTGTTCATCTGTCACACAGGTGTATTAATACAACAGCCCTACATTTACACTTAACACCAACACTCACTGTAAAACAATAAAGGAGATAAAGGGTGGGGGGGGGGCATGGGTAACAGGAAAGGAACTGGATAAAGAAAGGGGAGGCATAAGGATGGGCTGAGGGACAAGTGAGAGCAGGAGATGGAGGAGCAGAGCAGGTGAAGGGGGTTAGGACACAAGGCATCCAAGGGGAAAACGACAGGGACTTGGAAGGACTTGTGCAGCGACTGTGAAACGACCTCGTTCTGATCTTGCGGGAGGACTTTCGAAGTGATCCGCACAACCTAATTATTTTCACCTAATGAAAGCAACATATGCTAAGACAATAAAAGGCCTTATTGGACAGCTATTCATTAAAGAGAGGCAGTAAAAGAAACAGGATTTTGGCATTGGAAGAAGCCCTTAAAGGCCTTTTGTGTCTGCAAATGGCTTCACTCTTCCTGTAACAGACCCATATGGTCACACTTTCCTCCATAAAATATCTGAATTATATACAGGAAGAGGGCGCTCTGCTTTACTGGATGTGATGATCTTTGAGTGAGTAAAAAAACTGCACCTCAAAGTTAGGAAATTAAAAATAAAATCTTCACCCCGTTGATGTGCAAGAATCCCATAGTCGTGCAGTTTGTGCAGAGAAAATCTCAAACAGAAAGTACATACCGCTAACGACAACCATTCTGTAGCAGCAAGATATCCCATAATTCACAATGTTGGTTAAGTTAGCAACAGCGGTTTGAAATGAGACTTGTCGGTGATTGGTGTGTGACAGTTTGGCACGGGGAAGTCATTATTCTATATGGTCACTGTGCTGTAAGTGTCACTGTGTTTCTATTATGAGAGCAGCAATGCTGTCTGAGTGTTGCCATGTGGACGGGTGGTAAGCTGGTGTAATAGGGCCACACATGGGCATGTGTGTGTCTGTGTGTGTGTGTGTGTGTGTGTTTTACCTCCCCACTGATTCAGCAGCTAATTGGTCTCCTGTGGCGAATTGACATGTTCACATACACACACACTCTCGCACGCACACAGGCATACACGGTAGAATGGCATATCCGAGAGAAAATCCAGAAAAGTACAGAGTGGCTTTGGTTCACATTTATACAAACTGCAAACACAATCAAACCCGCGCCAAAACACACACGCAGACAGCTGTGTGCAGTCTATTTATAAATGAACTCATTATCACACTACAGACTCCTAGTAAAGAATGACACCCGAACAGACTGTACCCACCACAGGTGGGATCAAGTCATTGTTACTCTAGTAACAAGTAAGTCTCAAGTCTTTGCCCTCAATTTCAAAGTCAAGTCCTTACTCCAAACAGACAAGTCTCAAGTCAAGTCCAAAGTACTGCAGCTTCAGTTTCTAGTTTTTTAACAATAGAGAGAGCAAAATCATGTTTTGGGTGATTTTTGAAA